TTTTGTCTTTTATTAATGTTCAGCATACTACGTTCCAAGCCACGCTGGCAGCTGGTAATTTTGTTCCTTACCTTGTACCCATATTTCCAGGTCTGGCAAGCATAAGTTAGGCATGGCAGGAGGCATGTGTTCATCGCTTTTGCTTTAACATATACTGCCAAGTTGTTTTTAAATATTTCTTTCATACTCCAGTATTTATTCCAAGTGTTTTGTATTCTTCTTTCTACTTCTAGCTCGTTATTTTTGCTATTAAAGCTAATTTGTTTCCCTAGGTAAATGTATTTTTCAGTGTAGATCGTGAAGATGGTACTAGGGCATAAATCATCCAGCCCTGTAGTCGCGGGCTTATAGAATAGGGCTAAGGTATTCCCTGCGTGTCGTAAAAGGCGACTAAAAGGGGACACGGATTGGCAGCAGCTCGAAGTGGTCTCGAGCTGCTGCAAGATAGTGAGGGAACCGGGGAAGCTATCCTTCTCCGGGGAGTGCTCACGCGCAGTACTGAGGGACACCTGTGCGTTCCGTGGGAGATCCCGGAGTCCCTCCAAACGTACAGTGGGTGGCCACCGAGGGGGTTTAAGTGGGTAAGAACCTCACATAACCCTGTCATGTAACGTGACGGGGTATCTTCTGAAGATTCCCCCCCGATACCAAAAAAAGGACATAAATCACCACGCGATCCCACTGAGGACTCGGGACTTTACATATCTTGCAAATATTTTTTGAAAGCATACCAATTTCCTCACGAATTTTTTCCCCTCACCGCAGAGCACAAACTAAGACAGCACTTAAATTGCAATAAAAAATTTCATCGGTGCCAGCACCGCGATTTCAACTCGGGTCGTTCAAGTATATTGAATTAAAACCGAGCACCCCACACTGAGCTGTCACGACTCGTACTTAAAAGATAAAGAAGTATACATTACATACATTTGATGACTTCATGGCGGAGTCGCCAAGGCATTGGCTTCGGCGTCAAGGGTCGTGGGTTCGGTTCCCACACGGGACAACTATTTGTGTGACCCACAAATAGTTGTTTGAGTACAAGTGAAATTTATGTATGTTAAACTTCCTTTCAACATAGGATAAAGTTGTCCTAAAGTAAGGGCAATGTTAAAAAAATAATTACAATATACATTAACTGTAAAATCATCTTACTAATTATACCAAAGCAGTTACGAAGTAGCAATTTCATTGCAAACGCGTTTAATAAAAGCTCAGTTTGTCTTTAAAGAGATAAAACACGTTACAGATCGAGAACCCCTTTTGATATTCCTTTCAGTGATACCAAAAAGTTTGTAGGAACATATCAGACATTTTACGCCAAGAATTGGAAATGGACTGTCCTTTATCCATCATTTCGCCATAAAATCGCAATAAAAGGAATTTTACAGTCGTTTATTTTGTTACCTTAAGGATCTTAGCTTCAAATAATACTAAAGTAAAACTAATGTATCTACGTTGTTGAGATTAAATTTTCGTCTTTTCCATTTATATCGAGTACTACTTCAAAATATTCAAAGTCTCTCATTGAACTTGTTGCTAACAAATAGAGCACTTTTTATGGATTTTGTAGCGATTACACTTTACTTCTAAATTTAATATATATAATTATATTAATAGGTCGCAAACGAGCAGATAGATAGTAAGGTATTACAGACATCAATAACGTCCGCAAAACATATGCCTGTCCTATTTATGAAACAGGAGAAAGAAATGTTTTAGTTAACCCTGCTGCCAACTTTTCGATTATATAATGTTGTTCTTTGCAAGTCCGCTATAACCTTGACCCCCTATCACATTTGGTTCCAGTGCTCGATTTGCTTACGTAAGATGACACGGGACGCTGTGACAAATGTACTTTTGAAACTAATCAAATTGTTTACGAGGACGGACTTCTCTTATTGGGTCGAATTACGAAGCTATTACATAAATAACATGACAAAGTTTAGTTGTTAAACGCTCGCCTTTATGGCATATCAGTTGGTAGTTAGGTTATCGTTGTTTATCTATCTACCGGATACTTAGCTTAGTGGATTTAAAGCTTCTGGGGGCGTACTCAGACGACACAAGTTCGAATCCGAGCAGCACTGAAAAGGTTTTAGACTGTTTATCTATTAAAGTCACGTTTAAATTTCATCTTTTTTTATGTGAAAAGGAGACAAAAGAGCTGGCGGTTCACCTGATGTTAAGTGATAACCGCCGCCCATTGACATTTACAACACCCGTAGGGTTGCAGATGCGTTGCCACTTTTTTAATACAGTCGGCCACGGCTACCTCAATTACCAGACACAGAATTATAACAATTCCATCTTACGCCGGTCTTCTGTGACCCCGTGGTACTTACCCGGACGGATCTGCCCATTTGTGCAACCTTGAATGAAAGCTCATACATAGAATTATGACCTCCATTTTAGTTCTTATTTGAATAATTATTAAAATATAAGAATAATTTTTTAAACTATTAGCAAAACAACTACATCTTTTAAAACTCAAGGAGCACCCGGACACTACGCTACTAGAAGTTATATTCGTAGTAACTGTGATCGTAGTGGTTAACCATTTACCGTGTACATTACAAAGACCCAAGATTACGTGATATATGTATATTTAGAAGTAGTTTATTACTTATACATTTATATTTTGAAACTCTCCTAATATTTCGCTACCGCTACAAAAAAACAAGCACTAAAAACGAAAACACCTACGAACATAAATTCTCAGCTATATTTTACTATTACGTAACAAACACAGGTATAAATATTTCATACAAAAAACAATCGGTGGAAAAATTAAAAAAACGGTCGACGGAATTACCTTATTATCGTAAAGGTATTTGGAAACAGATAGAAGTCGAAATATGCTTAATTACTGATTCATTATGTTCGTTTCGCACCTTCCACGCGCTTGTTTCGTTCACTGAGCTCGTGAGTAACTAATTTAACGAATTTTTTACATTTGCGAGTGCAATATTTATTCACTGGTAGTGTTAAAAATAACGCATTGAAATACTATAGTTAATTGCACATGCAGTGTTATTTAGTCATTTAGTCATTTAGTTCAAGACTGTGGTTATTATATCAAAAAATAGGGGGAAAAAGTATCCCCAGAAGAACCGGCGAAAGAAACTCTTTCGGTTCTTCTCGGGTTAATTATCAATAAGTGATATAATGCTCTGATGTTGAATATATTTGAATTTACAATTTATGAGTCTAATACATTATTTATCGATAAGGAAAGCTTATATGTTAAAAGCTAATGAGTGGACAGTGCAACCATCGATGCACCTACCTTAGAACCAGACGTGACGAGCGGTGAGGTAGCCTTGTCCCATCGAATACATTGTATTTAACTAGGAAACATCACCGGAATTCAAAGCTACAACATCAAATCTCAGTCGTTAACAGTTCAGACATTAAACTTAATCTTTCGGCGAGAGAAAAGACCGTAAACCAATGTCATTTCGTATTGAAACTAGTTGCCAATATGTTTTATTCAAACTAACAACCTTAAGTTCGAAATATATAATAATTGGACCAGTATAAAAGTGCTAACAAGTGTCAACGTATTAACGTCGTTATATGCATATTAATGCATATAACGATTTCGATTAGCAAAGACCAGTCGGTAGAACAACGGTTATGAATAAAACATAACGTTTCTGCCCACTCCCGGAAAGCGTGTTCTGCGTCTGATGGCACCGGGGGATGAGAAAAGTTAAAGAGGCGGAAAAGATAAAAGGTAACTCCACTATTGTCGGACCATTGTCGAGCGAGGCGGCTATTGTGCAGGAAAAAGATAATTCCTCTCTGCAACGTTCCTCTGTCCCGTCCGCAATGTCGTAGTAGATGTAAATACAACAGTTAACGAACAGCGCTTTCTCTGTATTGTAGATGGGAAGTTTTTAAATCTTCGAATATTTTGTTCGTCGATAAAATAGTTTTGCATTTGGCATGCGCTTCGATTTCGGAATAGGTCGCGTGTACGAATCCTAGACGCGCGTCAGTTTTCTTGATTCAAAAACTTGATTCGTTAATGCTGACAGTTTTACAACGTGTCGCTTTTGCGCTTTATTAGGCTCGTGGCAAAGTTTACACGGAAGTTTGTTTTTGTTTCGTCATAATATTAATGTCCCCAGTGCACTATCGGCTTTGGACTCAGCCCCAGACGGACCACTAGAAGACTCTCCCCACAATCCAAGGCAATGGCAATAGCAAAGGGTTATAAGCGAATAGACCATCAATATAGAATCAGCGATTTCTGTTTCTTTTCTAATATCTGTGCCCACGGGTGGCAGTCTTTGCGGACGTGGCACATACTCTCGACCGTAGCTACGTGAAGCAGACCAATAAAGGAAGTCGTAAATTAAACGCACAATTAATTACAACCACAATTAACATACCAAATTATACGCGGTATCATGTATTATTTCGAAAAAATCATTAAAAATCACCAGACAAGCCAACCGAGCATTTTTTTTTTTTTTTTTTTATGCGAAAAGTTGTCAAACGAGCAGACGGTTCACCTGATGTTAAGTGAATACCGCCGCCCATGGACATCTGCTACACTCGAGGGTTACAGATGCGTTGACAACCTTTTGAAAATTGGGCTCCGGCTACCTCACTCACCAGACGAAACGCGAAAGTATTTGTCATACTTACATTATACAGGATAACAGGTCGATATAGTAATAATCCGATCGATATAACCTGTCCCTACCTACCTGCATCTGTACTTGGGTTGCCAACTGTTTTTGAGAAAAATAACTTATTATGTTTTTCATTATACTTAAAAAACGTATTTAAGGATAGTGAAAAACTGCAGAAATAGAGTATTTTCTCATTTATTTGTACGCAAAAGTACTATAAAGTATGTTTGCAAAAATAGAGTAGGATACTTTATCATAAATTATGGTTGGCAATACAGGTATGTTCCTTTTTTATAGTGATTTTTATAGCTATTTAAGGCTAAGCGATTAACCCACCCATCAGAAACTTTTGAAATGCCCGCTCGAGATAATGCCCACCGAAAGCGTGGAGCGCCCCCGCCGAGGTCACGTGACCCTATAAATATGCAAAACCAGCCCCACTTCCTCTGGGTGAATGGAGATTGGGGTCTTAACGGACAAACACGCGGGTCCCAATCCGAAATGCCGCGAGGCGTTATCGCTAATAAAAATATGGCGCAGTCTCTGCCTAATGCTTTCATATCGTAAAAGAAATATTTTGCCCGTCCGGTACGCACGCTTTTCCATGAAGTATTTTTTTTATATTTTCAACACTTTCACTAAAATGTGTGAGTAAAAGCGTTTGTCTTTTGGACAGTTTCAAATAATGACGGAAATCTACGTTTCATGTTCAGTTAGAATTAGAGCCATCTATATGAATATATAAAACCTTGAAGACAGTCGCCGCAAATGATCATTCCCCCAAGAAAAAAGGAATGGTTATATGTGACTATTAATTTAAAAGATAATCTCTTGGTATTGCCACGAGGGAAAATACGGAAAAGTAATTTAAAGTAATAATATATTAAAAATAAAAATCCGCGGTTGGGTCTTATTGTCGACTATCCACATATACCCTCTGTGCACAGAGCAATGGAACATGTGTACGCTATTTGTTTTTGTTATTGCTAAAATCATATCCAGAACAGCGATCGATGTTCACAGCAGCTATTAAAAAGATGGATGTTATAAATACAATATTACTTCTATAAAATTAAATAGTATAGTTACATTATATGTATATTAATATAGAACCACCCATTGTTTTGTGTATAATAGTGTATTTGTATATAATAGTATATATATAAACTACGCATTTAGCGATAATGTGATTCGATTTAACTTAGCACCTTAACAATTATTTGTTACGTAAAGCGGCGTTCACTTAAACGCCTAAGTTATCCGTAAATCAGTTAACTTTAAAGTATGTTTCATATTGAGCAATAGGACACGACCATTTTGTCATGATCCGCGGCCATTAATATGATGGCTAAGGATATCGATAAATTAATTTGTACTAAAACAGAAGTTTAAAACTATTTTTGGTCCGACCATTGGACGGTAAAGCATAAAGCGCGGCGTATCAGGTACTTTACGTTAATAATTAATTCTGTTTAAAGAGCGAATTTCACTGAAAATTATTCATATAACTGCTAGCGATACGATATTTGCCGACATCCTAAGGTTTAGTCCACAAAATATATTATTTAGTACGGATATTTTCATTAAGTATTAAACCTCGAACTGGTGACCAGAAAAAACGGTTTAGCGGTCTAACAGATTCCATTCATTTTGAACGAACGGGCACGGCCGTCCGGGTAAGTACCACGACCTCACGACCACCGTGAACACTTCCAGTGTTATATTTCTGGGTTTCGTCTGCTGAGTGCGGTAGCCGGGGCCCACTTTATTAAAAGGTGGCAACGCATCTGCCACCGTACGGGTGTTGCAAATGTCCATGGCCGGCAGTTATCTAACTAACATCAGGTGAACCGCCTTGTTTGCCACCTTTTCACTTTAAAAAAGACTCCTAAATGTAAATGCCACTTCGACATTCCCGTTAAAAAGTAGCGATGGCGGCTTGGAAGGTTACACGACGGCTGCACCCGGCATATGCTGGCCATTGGAATGTAGAGTCATCGAAAGTATTGATGTTTCTTTCCCAAATTATACAAACATTTCTAGTGTGTATCAATTGTCAATGGTTCAATCAGGTAAACCGCCTGTTCGCTAGTCACCTCACATTAAAAAAAAAACAAACTCAGATATTAAACATTAACTTATGCATTAAGACGAATGTACAAATGGATTATTCACAACAATCGCGCCTAGCCGCCACGGGCGAAAGTCGAATGCGAAAAAAATATATTCGCATCAGAATAGGCCCCGCTTATGAATGGCAAAACGCAACTCGCACCGCCGACCGCGCAGTGCAACCTGCGCCGGGGTCGGTGAACCTTTGACGTAACGCCATGTTGACCACGCCTGCGCCTGACAAACACACATCCGCGCTGACGAATATTAATGCGTTTTAAACAAGTGCATGTGCAAAATAACCGAGTGTTATTTCTGTTTTGACCGGTTAGAGAATACTTATCCGCCTTTTCCGTAAGTCGAGTGGGCCTTAATGTATTCCCGACCGTATGAATGTTACAAATCAGAGTCGCGTAATAAATCTCGCTGTGCCGTATTCATCAAAGTCGAGATGCCCGATGGTTTTTTATTATTTCAATTGACCCGTTGGATCGTAACGCGAGTGTTTCGATCGACTTCGCCAAAGATCATGGCGTAATAAAAGATAATACGATATACTATAACATTAACGATATTACGAGTGCATTCACGTGTGCCTCACTAACAATTGAAAATCCGTTTGAACGATCTCACTAAAGGTGATGTTCCATAAACCATGACATTATTTACAATACTTAACGAATATTACTTTAACAGATCGAACCACAGGGGCTGGAAAACATTGATTATAAATTTCGAAATTCGTGAACGTCCCCTTTGCGATACGAGGCTTTAGGATTTATGGTGAACTAACAAAACCCAATACTCTTAATTCTAGATCGATCCTCATCAGCGCAAGTTAGATTTGGGAATCGAATACCCATCGACGTCTTCGTTAATTGTCAAGATTTTAGAGAATATTTACATTAAGTAAACGTTTCTATGACTTAGGGAAAACTAGCTACTAAACTAAAACGGTAATGGCATTGTTCACACATTGCCTACTACAGCCAAATTTTCGTGCCTTCTACGCACTTAGGTATAATTTTTCTCGTGCCCACTACGCACTTACGTATCTTATAATTCCGCAGTTGCACGAAATTCCGAACGGAGCCTTGTCGGTTCGTATTAATTATAAACACTAGCCAAGAGTCGGCGCATTTAATTTGCATGGCGACATTATTAGAATTCTTGACGCTCGACGCTCGTAAGTGTGTCGGACCTGTAGATTTATAGTCATAGGAGTTGTGGTCATTTTCACTTTACTTAAAGCATAAAATAAGTGAACGTGGAAAATTCGTACAGCAGTAACTGACAAAAACACTAAAACCACAAGGTCGGATAATAATCTGAAATGTGTATAAAACAAGTATCCATCGATGACGTTGTTTACGTATTCAACAAAACGAGCGAACATAACATAGGCCATCAAAATCCAATCCCCTAATCCCATATTGGGTATATTGTTATGGCGCTTCTAAAATTACCATATCTCCGTCCATAATTACGCGTAACAGTAATGAGTTAGGTCCTAATACGGTCTCCCGATAGCTGAATGGCCACTTACGGACGGACAAACAGACACTAAGCGCCATTAACGCGTACCTCAAGCGATAAGTGGCATTCCGATGCCGTCGCGATTACCCCGGGACGCCTACGTGAACTCAAGATCATCCGAAAACGATCCAATGGACGATTACACGATTACTTATATTTACCGGGGTTATTCTTATTGCGCCGCGATAGCTCAGTGGCCCGCCGCTTGCTGTCAATTCAGTACACACAAGCACGAGTTCAGATCTAATGCGTTCACCAATTGAATTGTTATATGTAATTTAAGTACCGATTCATACGTGCGTGTGAACAGAGTCTAATTATTTCGAAATAATAATAATTGCAAAAATAATATATTTCGGCGATATGTGAAATCTCGTATTCCGATGTGGGGTCGTGTGGTCTGTCGCCTAGTCTATGCCTAAACCGTAACTACTAACCTTTATCTCAGCAGAACTTTGCCCAGCAATGGGACGTAAACAAAATAATGAAATAAAGCATAAACTTACTTACTTTTTTAATGTGAGAAAGTGGTAAGCGAGCTGGCGATTCTCCGGCTGTAAAGTGATAACCGCCGCCCATGGACATCTGCTACACCCGAGGGTTGCAGATGCGTTGACAACCTTTTGAAAATTGCGAAGACAGTTGCGTGGTCCGACCAAACGTAGCTTTACGTAACTTACTTTATAAAAATACCGCAATAGATAATAATTAATGTAATATAATAGGGCGTAAATATTTGGTACATCGCACAAATGTTTAGCCCTCGTGAGATCAAACCCGCGACACCTAAATTAGTTGTCAAGTTGATCACTTACACATTATTTAGCAATGCACACATTCGGAGCGAAATCTTTTTGAACCGCCTTCAAAAACGGAGGAGGCTCTCAATTCGACAGTATTTTTCTATGTTTGTCACCTCAGAACTTTCGACAGAGTGAACCGGTTTTCATGATTCTTTTTTTATTTGAAAGCTGGTGCTTCCCATGTGGTCCCATATTAATTTCATTTGTATTGGACCTTGGGCTCCGGAGATACGTAGGGAACCCCTCAAAATCAATTATGAAATGAATACAGAGCGAGATATTTGAAGTCGGTTTTTGTTTTTCGTTAGTGAAGAAGTATTCTAGTTGCGGAAGCTATCGTAAATCGGATCAAAACGGACGCCCCGAACTCTTCGAAACGTCGCGTCGCGAGTTGAAAATAAAATTGAGCCTAATAACGTGCGCTAGGAATGTTTCATTTGGAAACGAGAGGAAAACGTTTAGCGCCAGCTATATTTGTCACGTGTTTAAGATAAAAGATATGTCTTTCAAATGCTGCACCCGTTCGGGTGGGTTCGGACGAGACTATTTATTTCCGCTGTTTTTAATCGACTCCGAAAAAGGAGGAAGTTCCTTACATCGCTTATTTTTTTCTTTATATTTCTCACCTCAAATCTCCATCATTTACTAACTGGTGTTAAATTCTTTTCACATTACGTTATTTCATTAAGCTCAAACTGTCAGAAGACACATCAGGGACCCCCTCAAAATGAAATAGAAAATATAGCAAGTGAGATATTTGAAGTAGGTTTTTGTAATTAAGAAAAATGCTTATTAATGTCAGAAGTATGAATAACAATCAAGCGATAACCTGATAATAGTGATCACCGCCGCCCATGGACATCATACCTGGGTGCCATCCCTCAATACCGAAATACCTAGATTGTGGATGCGTTGCCAACTTTGAAACAATCGTTGCCTCCGCATCGCCGGTCTTTTGTCAGTACTTCACTGAACGATTGGCCTACCACAATAAAACTCCGCTGTTGCACAGATGCTACAGATTTACGAAAGACGCCCTTGGCTTCTTTATAAGTTGAGTTTCGCCCGATAAGAGCTCTGCTCTCCCTAAGGCAAACGACCCTAAGTTGTAGA